TATTTTGCATTACGATATACTTTGGTTTTATACATATACACTTTTTGTATATTTTGAAGCATTCTTAATACAATATTTTCATTAAAATTCTTCATAATTACTAAGATGACACCGTTTTTTAACTTAAAATTGATCACCTTCACTCATTTTTCACTTGAATGGTCAAGATTAGTTTTTATTTGGGAAAAATTGAAAATAATAATCCCAACTATTGCCGGTCCGCTAACAATAATCCCAATTATTGATTATTTTTGTATAATCTCAACTATATGGATCATCCGCCAATAATGGTCCATGACCAAATATTACCTTCTATAAAAGTGAATTTTAAATAGAAATTAAGCGTAAAAATTAAAAGTTGAGATTATTTTTAGAGATTACTTGTTATATCTCTTCTCATCCACTTCAGAAAGTACATGAATTTATTTACAGGGACTGTTATTGGCGGAAGGACCATAAAGTTGGGATTATTCTAAAAAGAAAAAATTACACATATATTACTACTTTAAATCTCTCTAATAAAAATATGACTACTAAATGAAAGAACAAAGTGATTTTGCTATAACTACTCCTAGATTGCCGTAGGTGATGGGTAGTTACTCACTTTTTTGTAAACCCAAACTATATTGATAATATTTGTGTAAAAATGATGTTACTAAATATACGGAGTACTACATACTTACATAGCATAATATACACACGGGTGTGTACCGTACATGTATACACACGATAGAATCGGAACAGGAAACAAATGTTCCGGTCCCTCTATTTGTCACACCGCAACCATAACTATAGGTCTATAGCCAAGTTTGGCTGACCAATATCTATTTTCAGGTCAATTTTGGTTCTTCGACTTAGTTCTCAAAAATTGAAAAAAAAAACAAACCAATCAACTCCCAATTTGAACCAGATTGGACTTTTTGGTGGCATTCTGGTTCCCGAGTAAAGAACTGGTCCAGATAAGGGATGGACCGGGCCCGGGTCGAGCTGGGAGGGATTTTGGTTTGGGAAATCAGGTCCGGTACCGGCCCGGGTCGTTTCTAGGCTTTTTAAAAAAATGGTTTTTATGCTTTATTCCTACCCACCCCCAAACCTCCCAAACCACCCAACCTCACCCGCCTAGCACCCAATCCATGCAGAAAAAAGGGCCCGGGCTGGTCCACCAAATACCCATCCCGTAGCCCACCCCAAATACCCCCCGCTTCGGGCCCCAAGGCCTGGTCCCGGTCAGTCGGGTTGGGTTCCAGGCCGGTCCGAACTGGCCCAGTCCATGCCTAGTCTAGATCCCAGATTTAAAAATCGACCTCTAACAAGTTCCCGACTCCGATCCGACTCCCATATTATTACTGTGATTTTAGGCGAATGAGAAAGTGGGAAAAGCTACCTACCAATGTGAGAAGACAGGAGAACATTTTTTATGTGTGAGCCCTTTTCTGACTAAGAACGATTTCAGAAGTTTTAAACTATTGATTTCAATCCAATCCATGCAAAGCAAAATGCACAATGGCAGGGTGATGACGTAGTCTCTACAGCTGCAAGTAGAATGAAACATAGGATGCAAAGTGCTAAACTCCACTGAATTCAAGCCTTAAATTTACCAATGTTTAAGATATGTTTTCACCTATCTGGCCTTCATAAAACCTTTTACAGTACACTATTAATACATCCAGTTACCTAACCATTAGCATTGAATATATATATTTGATAATGGCCATGGTAACATTCGGGTTTCTATGCACAACAATGAAGAAAGTTACAAATATTAATTATAGGATATTCCCATGTAAAATGACATCATGCACAGGCGTCAGGCCACAGTGTATACAGATTTCTCTTATTGCCACATCGATGTATTCCAGCTTCATTACACCACCTGGATAGCTACAAAGTAATTATAATAATAAGACAAAAATCCAAAAAACTACCATTACAAAATCTATATGAAATTAAAAAAAAAAAAAAATGGGGGTCCTGGGCTCCCTGGATATGCCAACGGATACAATGCCAGCAGCTTGGTATACACTTGCAGACCGAAGAGTAGCTTTCACTGACCTTTCAGGTAGGAGCAAATCCAATATCCAATTAGCAAAAGCGAAACCAAAGATATGAATACAAGAGTTTTTTGAGTTCATCCTTATTACCTAGAATGTAGAGAGAGAGAGAGAGAGAGAGAGAGAGAGAGAGAGAGAGAGAGAGAGAGTCAATTTGATTCCAATTAGCAAAAGCGAAACCAAAGATATGAATACAAGAGTTTTTTGCGCTGTTTATAGCCTTGCATAAAGTTCAATCACTAAAGCATGTTCAAATCCTATAGTCATGAAATAGTGAAATACTAGAATTCAAGTTGTGAGCAGATTGGCGGTACTTTGTCCCAATATGCCATAGGATCTGGGCAAAATAACAAGGCATACTCTGACAAATGTGTGCTGTGAGCAATTGATAGATTAATAAGAGAGCTGAAACTATCAGTAACTCTCAACTGTATCTTTCTCACTTTTTAATAATCCCAAGTCTGACTACAAATGAACTGAAGTGTTTTCATTTTCAGTTCCAAGTTCTATGTAAAAAGTTCAGAATTTCATGTCTACTACCTTAAAAGGCTAAATACCGCAGGAATGTCTCATTTATTTTTTACATTCGTAACTCATAAGAGTATAAGCACTTGATTTGATAGATCAAAAAGTTACATAAGTGGAGCCATAACATTGCTCCATAAGAGTAAATAATGAGATCAGGTAAGAGTGAGCCCATAGAAAGCTTAGCTTTAAAAAAGGCAGATAAATAGCATGGCTGCAACTAGCAGGGAAACATCTTTTGTTGATCATTCATAATTTACCCCAGTGCCGCAAAGGCTCCCACCTACGGTCGGGTGATGAGAACCCAGCCCATTTAGATATTAATAATGAAAGGGATTTTTCCAGAGTTTATAGTAGGAGAAATAAAAGGGCAAAGGAGTAAAAGCATAATTAATGGGGGAAGCTGGGTCGGCAGATTGGGGAATAAAACAGGAACCGAGGGAGGAGAATAGGCATCGGGAAATTTGGATAGACTGGTTTTGGAGAGAGGGGCCCTCTCGAAAGGCTTCCAACTTGTTTTTTCCTTTCAACAAATAATCTTCCTGATCATGGTGTTCCAGGATTCAGTAATTTTCTTTCAATAAAATTTTCAGAGTATTTCAGTTCTTATCATCGGGTAAGATGGGGGTTGGATGTACGCAGTCTTACCCCTGTACTAAAGCACAGAGAGACTGTTTCCGGATGACCCATAATGAAAATCGCGTCCAAAATTGCATGGACTGACTGTTGCTTCATAACAAAGAAGAGCAGACGGTTTGGTGAGCCAGTTTGCTTTATTCCATCATATTCTCAAGCCAAAAAATAATGAATCTTTGGCTCCATTACAAATGATGGAAATGAAACATCTTTTGTTGATACAAACATAAAAATTTAGATCAAGGAATGACAACTTACAATTTCAAATTAGCCAGTAAAGTGACTATTCTTCTAAGATCTATAATTTGGTTGTGCAGGGAATACAAAGTACCAACTGATGGCTTGAGAGTGTCTAGAAGCACAGAATAACTTCTTGGAGTTGCATTTTACTTCCAACAACAGTTTGAAGATGTTACAGCTATCATCCATTTGCAATCAATACATGAAGGGTTACTCTGATCTGTGGAGGTCAACCAACCACAACTCCATTATGCTGTCAAACATACATCAATTGCGAAGGTCATAACATGAAGTGAAAATTATTGACTCTGGCCCTTTAAATAATTATTAGAGCAGATAAGAAAAAAATACAAAGTGCCTAGTTTTTGCTAGTTTCATCAGACTTCATATTTCAGACTTAATCAGATGCCATAAGTTCTTACAGAGTAGGACAGTTTCAGTATAAGTCTTAAATGAAACACACTCATGTCTACCTCAAAAACATTGCAAGCTATTTCACCAACCGCACACATCTCAACAACATGGAATATGGTTAATCTCTTGATAATCGGAATCCATCGGACCATCCAAATGCATAATGCTTGGAATAATTTTAGGAAGTAGCTTAAGTGAAGGTAATCTTGCATCTGTGTCACCATTGCTTGGAAGGGAAGACATCTCATCCTCCAATGTACAATAAGCATCTGCAAATGCCTACAACAGAAGTATGCAGGGAAAACATGTTATGACTTAAGAGAACATATGATTAACTTTAGAAAATCTTGTTTCTCATCTGTCACTGAAGAGATATTTCGAAGTAGGAAAATTAATTTTAAGATGCTTCAAGAACATATTCCCCCTACTAACTTTCCGTTGGTGAAAGAGAGTGTAAAAAGAGGCGGGCTGGTTGGTTGCAATCTATGGGTTTTGGCTAACATGCAATCTCCAATCTTGCTTTACTGCTTAACAGATTACAAAACACACATGGCATGTCCAATACTGATACATTGTCCCACGGAGCAATCAATGAAACTCGTCAGCTTATTTTCACTTTCCCCAACCACAACTCATTACGTCATCGCAAGTCTTCGAATTTATAAAGTAATTAACTAATAAAAAAATTAACAGAACGGGAAAAAAAATGATCGCCTTACATTGCACACTTACATTCTCTCTTGCATATTGAACTCAAGTGGTTCTACTGCTCTAGACTAGAGCCCATAAGATTTTGCCCCATTTGTACAAAGGGGCAAGATAAGGAAGAACTAGCTAATCATCTATATTTGAAAGAGAGAGATAATAGGAAGATAGAGAAATATATACTCACCCATTCATGCTAACATCACAGAATTCGCATCAAAATATCATTAACTAATTGAAAGGGTGTGTATCAGCTAACCTTGATGCATTGATTTATACGAAAGCAATTCCGACCCACATTATTGGTCGGAAAAAGTGGGTCATCTATATAAATTGGATCAATGCTGCAAAAATGTGGTAGATAATTGTAAGCAAAGATTATTACCATATCAAGCCTCAGCTGATAGAACTGATAAGAGTTTTTGTTACCTGCATCCCTTTTCCCTATTTATGTATAATCCACTACCATGTATTGAGATACGCATTTGACGAGGATCAAACACATTCCTAGCACAAATCCACAAAGACTGTCAATGCCTCAGATAAGATTGTGCTGAACTTCTATATGGTTTTCATTTTGTCTATACATTGGCAGGCAGGGGTGTTTCGTTCTTCAAGAGCTGGGATTGAAATAAAACAATACTCTATGTTCATGTTTATTTGGACCACTTAATATTGTTCCTTTTATCTGTCCATTTATGAAATTAATGCATACTAAATAACTTTTTCCCATTTTTATCCCTTTTATGCTATTCAATAGACCCTTTTTCCCAAGAGCACATTGATGGTGGGTTGCTTTTAATACGGGCTATTCTCGTAAAGCATTACAAGTGTGATCATTTTGTCATCCTAATACACTTTCTTAAACTGTGTGATTTGGTCAACCTAGGTAATAAATATATGAACAAAATGAGTACTCCACAGTAACTTGGAGCAGAACTACAACGAAGAGTCACCTATTGTCCTTTTAAGTTCTTTTAGATTTATGTCACTCTAAAGTAATGTGGCTTCTTGATTGAGACTTTACTAATTTGAAGAAAAGAAGATAAATACTCTAATAAAGTGTATTCTAGAAGGAAGTAGGGTTGTTATTAGTTTAGTCTATTACGAACTAATAACTACCAGTTGTTAACCTTTCTTACTATAAAGAGAATAAGGTTAGAAGTTGTAGATAGGCTGTTTAGACATTAGACATTAGTCTTGGACTGGGGAGTTAGAGACGAGCCTCTCTTTCTTTTCATTTGGGGGCTTCGGCCAGTTGCGGAGATTCAATAAAAGTTGCCTTGAGTTCTTGAATCAATTCTGTGTTCTGTTACACTAGAATTGCAGGTTCTAACATTGGTATCAGAGCAACGTAGATCTTTGTGGATGTTATTGACGAGAACGAAGATGGAATCGAGGATGAACGAACTGGAAGAGACGTTGCAGTTAAAGACGTTGCAGGAGGCCATCGCCAGGTTGGAAACGCGAAGTCAAAGTCGATCGAGAAACAGGTTACATACATCTGACGCAGCGCATCGCAAATCGCTCACCCGTTCGCAGACTGAATCGCGAACTATTTCTTTTAGTTCGCAATCGCGAACTTCTTCTTACCCTTCACAGACTTACTCACCTGCGATCAATTCGCGTTCAAGAAAGACACGATTGAGAGGAGAATCTTCATCGTCTCCAATCGATTCTCACGGTTCGTCTTCTTCCTTTCAAGCCGTTCTTCTGAGTGGGCAAATAATTTCTTCGGGTCCTCTGGCTTCGACGCAAGCAGAAGTCCCCAGTTCGCAGGTTCCTTCGATCCCCATATCTCACAGCTCATCCTCTCTGGTCATCGCATCAGAAAAGGGATCTTCAGTGACTCCACCAACAACAATAAACACAGAATTGGAATCGGTTGTACCTTCAGTTAAGGAAACAGACCCTGAAGAGGAATGCAATGAGAAATCTTCAGTCAATCTCGGACTTGAATTTGGAGCAATTATTCCCTCAAGTGTGACAAACTCTCCAGCTTGAATAACAACCTCAAAGATTGGAGTTCTTTTAGAGAAAACGAATTTTTTTCATCTGACAGGCAAGGTTGGAACCAAAGAATTAGGACTGAGGTGCTGGGTGATGCAGGAGCTGATTTTGTACTCTCGGCCAAAAAGAGTTGCTTGGTTACTATGGTGCTTCACACTAGCAAAGATTGTGTCATTTTAGAGATAGCCTGGGTTCTTCCATTCTCTGTATCAAGACACCAGGTGAAATGGGACTCTCCTTTTGAGGAATGTGAAGTGGCAGAGAAATTTTGGTGGAGTAGTTCTATAGGAGTTGTTTGGTGGAATGATATGGAGTGTACTCCAGGTATGGCGGAGGATGGCATTGTTTTACTAAAAAGCATCATGTTAGTCAATCAAAATTCAATGGGAGAAATCTCAAATGGAGTTGAAGCAATTTGTAGTTCAACACTTTCTGATGAGCAGATTCAAGAGGATGAGAATCCTGATATTCAGGTCATGAACACAAATTCTGCTTCTGTTGCAAGTATTATACCTCAGGAAAGCATGAAAATATTTGTGGCTATTGAAGGCCTGAAGACTAAGGAAGAAAATGAAAATTCACCAGAGATAATATATGGTGCAGTAACATCTGTGAATTGGAAATATCAAGTATGGAAACTCTGTTCTCAGAAATTAATGAGATATTGGGAAGGCCGAAGCGCCAGGATAAAGAGGAAGCAGAAGAAGGAATTGAAACCTGCCAGTTCCTGCCAAGACCTTCTTAACTGTTTAACTGAAGAGTGTGAATTACTGGAGTGGCCTGAGGAAGGGAAAATATAAGGATGAATTCAGCAGGGGAGAGGGAAATCTTGGTACATTGAGAGGGATCTCCCCGGAGTTGAAGATTCCTGAGAAACAGAACATAGCATCAAACAACAAATTCCACCCTTCCAACTTGAGGGCAAGTTGGATTTTCAGGAGGGGAGAATTGATAGAGACTTTACTAATTTGAAGAAAAGAAGATAAATACTCTAATAAAGTGTATTCTAGAAGGAAGTAGGGTTGTTATTAGTTTAGTTGATAGGAACCCACTTATTAGACTAATAATAGAAGTAATAATAATAATAATAGTATTAGTAATAAGGGTCTGAGTATTTTAGTATAAATAGAGGGGAAGTGGGAGTAGTAAGGAGGCGGTTTTAGACTTGGACTTTGGGACTTGGGAAGATCGAGAGCTTTCTCTTTCTTTGGGGGGCTTCGGCCTGAATTTCTCTATTCTACTTCTGTAATTGTTCTTCATCAATAAAGATTCATCTGTTTGTTGTTGATCTTTCTATTAATTTTCTGAATTTCTGGAGGTCTCTAACATTGGTATCAGAGCCTGTTATTTCCTGGAGACCAAGAATCTGATTCATGGAAGAATTTTTGACTCCGAAAATGGAAGAGAGTTTTAATAATATAGATCGGAAGTATGATGAGATGTTAGCGATGATGACAGCAATGCAGGCTGGCATCGCTGAACTTCAAAACAGAAAGACAGATCGATCTAGGAAGAATAGGTCTCATCCGCGACCTGACGAACCAGGTTCGTCTAACTCAGAGACATTGGATGATCGATCAAGGAACCCTAGACATCGTTTGTCGCAGTTGCTCACAAGTTCACAGTCGGAGTCGCGAACTACTTTTCTTGGCTCGCAATCGCGAAGTTATGATCACTGTTCACAGGCGCACCCTGTCTCTTCTCGTTCGCTACCACGAAAAGCCTCCCTGGGTTCGCAAACTGACTCAACCGCGACCAAATCATGTCCAAGAAAAACGCGATTAAGAGGAGAATATTCCACTTCAACAGTCGATTATCATTGTCCGCGTTCTTCATATCAAGTTGCTTCTCCAAGTTCGCAAGCAAATTCTTCCGGAACTCTGGTTTCTACGCAAGCAGAAGACTCCAGCTCGAAATCTCTATCTGAATCACTACAATCGGAGCAGGAGTTGGGTAATCAGAAGCAACCGTACCCGGAAGATACACACACCTATGGCGACAAGGAATTCAAGGAGGAATCCTCAGTTAACCTTGAAACTGAAACTGGTGCAGTCGCTGGATTTTCAAATGTTTGCAAGTACGATCTTGACCAATCAGACTTTGACAACAATAGGTTCGGGCTTCTTCAGGTATGCAATGTGTCTTATCATCCTGCACTGAAGAGGAATTGGCCAAATATCTTCAAGAATGAAATGATGTACTATCATTCATTAAACATTACTTGGGAAGGAATGTGTTAGGAATCTGGGTTTAGTAAATATTATTAATAATAATAATAATATTAGTAAGGGTACTTGTAGTATATTTAGAAGGGAAGGGGTTATTAGTAATTGATGGCCTTTCCTTAAGTGGAATATTGGCTATAAATAGTAAAGTGGGTAGCTAAGAATAGGCAGACTATTATTTGGATGTACGGTTGCCTTTGAGAGTCCCGGTTGCCTGAGTTGCCTTGTTGCCTAAGTCGAGACATTCACTATCAATATACGCCTATTTCCCTCTTTGCTATCAGATCTGTGTTACTGCTTATCTCCTTGACTGGATTACTACTAGATTCAGGTTGAGGAGAATGCTGGTGTTCACGGTATAAATACAAATTCTGCTACTGGGAAGTATGGAATTACTCAAAAATTTGCATCTCAAGAGACTAAAGCAACTATACCATTCAGAAAGCTTCTGGTGGTTGAGCATAACCCTCTAAGTGATGAGGTCGGTACTCTAATTGATTCTGGTCCGAAGGGGAGTGTAAGCAAGGGTTCTGGACTTGGTTTTACTAATCTGTTAACTCCATCATTGGGGTTTCAGCCTATAAGGGAAAGGAAAGAAGAAAACTTCTCCGATTTGGGACTTTGGCGGTTAGAGAATCTGAACTCGCATGGCAGCACTGTTATGCACAATTTATGTCGGCTGTTGAAGTTGTACAAGACAAATCCCTCCCAAAATGCGGCAGAAGATGACATTTTTTCGCTGGACAGCATCATTGTGGTTAGGGAGGCAGACCGGGGGAGTAGCTTGGATAAAATTCTATCAGTAGCTACAAAACCAAACCAACCAACAATGGAAAAATGGGCTGAGCAGAATGACATAGCTAGATATGTTGATGCCCTATGTGGGAGTCCAGAGGTGAAGGAAGTAATGATGAAGATCCATGCACAGAAGCTAAAAGCCCAAAAACCAGTTAAGTACTGGGAAGGGAGAGGTGCAAGAATGAAGCGGAAGTGGAAGATTATGGCTGATTCCTATCACCCACCTTGAGGACAAGGTGGTTGTTTAGGGGGGGAGTAATGTTAGGAATCTGGGTTTAGTAAATATTATTATTAATAATAATAATAATAATAATAATAATAATAATAATAATAATAATAATAATAATAATAATATTAGTAAGGGTACTTGTAGTATATTTAGAAGGGAAGGGGTTATTAGTAATTGATGGCCTTTCCTTATGTGGAATATTGGCTATAAATAGTAAAGTGGGTAGCTAAGAATAGGCAGACTATTATTTGGATGTACGGTTGCCTTTGAGAGTCCCGGTTGCCTGAGTTGCCTTGTTGCCTAAGTCGAGACATTCACTATCAATATACGCCTATTTCCCTCTTTGCTATCAGATCTGTGTTACTGCTTATCTCCTTGACTGGATTACTACTAGATTCCTAACAGAATGAAGTCATTTAACAAGTTTGATAGTTTCAGATATGAGGATGTTACTTTTATAAGGTATATTCTAACGGAGATGGAGGTAAGAGTTGCTCAGAATTGGATGGAAAAGGAGGATTATGCTATTGATGATGAGGATGACATGTTACTGATACTTAACAAGGAAAACAATCCTGCTAGATTCCAAGAGGCCTTGATTATTGGTCAAAAGGTAAGGAGTAGGCAGATAGCTTGTATGCCTGTTCAAAGGGGTTGTGCAGATTTGAACTATAGGTTTCATATGGAAATTGATGTTTATGGGATCAAGACACTCAGGACAATAGAGAAGGATAGGGAAATGGATGACAGTCATGACCAAGAAATTAAGGGTGAAGATGTTGAGTCATTCTGGGGTACCTTAGCAAAACAGTTGGGGAAGAAGGATCCACAGATTAATGCAATTGAAGATGCAATCTTCATCAACTCATATGTGAAGCCTACATTGGAAATTAGGGGGGGGCAGTTTGATACTTTATGCAAATTGGGACCCCTCTAACTATAGACTGAAATGGACTGATGTTAATGGATTAGAAGTTGAAACAAATTTTCAACCTTACAAAATGATCTTAGGCTCCAATGATCCAGAACTGAACTGTTCCAATTGTGTTCTTATAATTGAAACCAAGCTAGGTGAAGAGGTTGGAAATATAGAAGTGGAACCCTATTTGCTGGAAAGAATAGTTGAGTATCAATGTGCTGAGTATCTATGTGCAGTTCTTCCTTTGCTTATCAATACCCTGGTATACATCTGGCAGCACAGAGCATCAGAATCCAGATTGGTGGTGGGGTTTGTAAGCTGCCAGACGGCCCAGACATCTTTGGTTCTTCAGGCAATAAAGTTCATGGCTCCACAATCAGTTAGGTATTGGGAAGGTAGAGGAGCAAGAAAGAAGAAGAAGCAAAAGATCTCGGCGGTTTCCTATCGCCCACCTTGAGGGCAAGGTGGATGTTTAGGGCGGGAGTATTGATAGGAACCCACTTATTAGACTAATAATAGAAGTAATAATAATAATAATAATAATAATAATAATAGTATTAGTAATAAGGGTCTGAGTATTTTAGTATAAATAGAGGGGAAGTGGGAGTAGTAAGGAGGCGGTTTTAGACTTGGACTTTGGGACTTGGGAAGATCGAGAGCTTTCTCTTTCTTTGGGGGGCTTCGGCCTGAATTTCTCTATTCTACTTCTGTAATTGTTCTTCATCAATAAAGATTCATCTGTTTGTTGTTGATCTTTCTATTAATTTTCTGAATTTTTGGAGGTCTCTAACATTAGTCTATTACGAACTAATAACTACCAGTTGTTAACCTTTCTTACTATAAAGAGAATAAGGTTAGAAGTTGTAGATAGGCTGTTTAGACTTTAGACATTAGTCTTGGACTGGGGAGTGAGAGATGAGCCTCTCTTTCTTTTCATTTGGGGGCTTCGCCCAGTTGCGGAGATTCAATAAAAGTTGCCTTGAGTTCTTGAATCAATTCTGTGATCTGTTAGACTAGAATTGCAGGTTCTAACACTTCTTTATTTCCTTTGTCCATTAATAGCCATGAGAAGGAAACCAACAAAGACAAGAAGAGAATAATAAGGACAATACTCATAAAAAAAACTATTCTCTTACAGAATGTACCAAACGTACCCAAAGAAATAGAAGAAATCCATGAGCAGACTTCCAAAATTCTATTAAAGAAAACAAAGACACTTGTTAACATTGCTAACACATTTAAATAATTATTAAAAGTTGGAGGTATTTATATCAATTCCAGTACTCCGCAAAACAAACAGAAGCTAACAATCCATCCACATCTCATGGCGCCTTGTCATTTAGACAAGCCTCTTCTTGGATTTTGAAATTATGATAAACTTTTATGTCCAAACTCTCATTAACAATTTTGAACATATAGTATTGCAATGCCTAGAGCACACAAGACTTGTCACAATATCAACACTTAAACATAGCCAAATTGGGAAGAAGGGTGAAAGGAGTGAACCTACATCAATAATGAATAAAATAGAATAGAACTGTACTTGGATAGTGGAGCGACCATGATGATGCTCATGCTGCAAAAAACGTATTATCAGTAATACCTGTCAAAAAACATATCATCAGAAACAACAATTATTTCTCCTATAAAAAATGTAACAAGACCATCAAGAAAAAATCAAAACAAGTCAATCTCAAAAACGGTTTAGATGTGTGAGGCTTATATTTTAAATTTAAATATTAATCTGTGAACATCATGTCTTAGCGGATAACTAGTTTATGTAAGAGAGAATGTTGGCAATGCAGACTTGTCCAAGTGACGTGGACTCCCTGGTTTGATTTATATCTGAGTTTCATGCTTCAATTTTTCTCCAAGGAAGTTTAAACAATAAACAAACATAAAGCACTTTTTTAAAGCAACTACAGAGATTAATCACACGAGAAAACTAGTTCCCCAATGGCTTACCAGTTTTGCAGCTGTGCTTTTGGAATTGTGATTGATTAAGAGAAATTGTGGAAAGTTGAACAAATACTTCTTCATGAATACAAATACTAACACCGTCTCAAAAAAAGAGTTGTTTGAAAAAAAATTGTAAGGTACAACTTCTAACAGTTAAAGATTCTACGAGTAGTTTTTTAATATATTGGTTGGCTTAACTCAGTAAATAACATTTAAATTCACGGCCCCTTTTGCAAGAAAACAATTTGGAAAAAATACTTCTTTTGGGGGATGGAGAGAGTAATAAATACTTACAAGACAATATGAGCTCAAACCACCAGAATATGACTGAGCTAGGCTTCGATCTGCCAAGAACTGCTTTAATACCAAAGCGAGAGGTTTAGTTGCAGGAAACTGTTCAGTAAGCTCTTTTACCTATCACAAAGAGGAGAAAATCAAGATCTCAAATCCAATGCAGTTGACCAAGTGAAGTACAAAACATGGTTAAAATGGGTAATAAACATAATCCAGACTAAGGTGTAGTTTGGTACTTTGCTTGACATTAATAACAAAGTATTGTAATAAAACTAACCAGAAGAACAAAGCAAAATAAGACAAATATGCTGCAGTATCTATTATCTAAGTTCGTGCTCATCAGCGGGCGTATGAAAAATGTCATGTCCAGAGACAATAGTTACCAGCTCAGTGGTCTGCAGGCCTGTATGTGATGGTGAATTGAAACTAATGTCAATACGGACTGATTTTACATTCTTGACAGAAGCATCCATCTTGGGCCATTTGGGGGATGTACAGCTTTCTGAACTAGCACCGTCAACCTGGAAAGGATTGCCTTCCCTAGTTGTGTGGGCTTTTGGTGTTTGGGAATGTGAAGAAGTGGTAATGAGATCATGAGGAACTTCCACCACAAGCATGATAATAGGTATCTGGAACAAGAATATTATTAGATATGCATGTGTAAGCGTCTGGATGTTTTGTAAAAAGTGAGGAAGGAAAAAAAAAGCGAATATGATGACCAAGCACTATAGAAAAGAGAAGGTTGTAGTACAGCAGTATTCTCCACAATCTTGAGAGAGTCATTTTTAACCCACTCCAAGTTAGCAAGATATCTTGCTGCATGCTGCAAGTTAACGTAGTATCAAATTCCATCTCTAACAAAGTCTATGCAACTGGGAAAATTTACAAGGAGTATATTAAAAATTCTAGTTTTTTTTTTCAATTGGAAGAGAGGCTATTCTATGAAAAGAACAAACAAGACTCATCTAAATGTCTTACAAAAAGGAAATAAAACTAAGGAAATGCATATCATACATTGAAAACATGTTGGTTCATGCATTTTGGATTTTAGCATGTTTATGCTGTGTTATACAAGCTAAGTTATCAAGTTTTAGTGATTAGTATCATAGCAATAGCAAAGCAAAAAACTACATCTCGTCAAAAAGTTTATCCATATATAGTTGTTTATAGAATATCTAAATTACCTGAAGGCATGTTTCCTTGATACCATTGCGTCCCTCCAGGATACCAGCTTCCTTAATGGGTTCCTGGTAGATGACTACAGTGAGGCTTCTTCATTTTCTTTCTCCCCCAGGAAGATTGAAAGAACAAAATATGCAAGAGTAAGCATGATTGACTGGTATAGAAATCAGACTCACCAAATTTCTCACTGGAGGAAGACAGACCACAAGGTCAACATCACTTGAAGGAAGTGACAAACCTGTTGCATTTGAACCAAAAATGTTTGTCCTGGATCTGGGCCATAAGACTTGTAGTGAACGTGTGACACGCTTCACGGCCCAATTAATGTAAGGTTTCCTGATCAAATTCTCAGCAGCAACCTTAGGTATCACCATGTAATATGAAAAAATAATTAGGCAGAAGTCCTAGAAATAAAGGTTTTCATCAAAATTCAAGAAAAATACAAGCTGCTGAAAGTACCGCTTAGCACCATACCTGTTTATAGAATGTGTTGATTTCTTCATGAAGATTGATGTGGATTGAACTCAGAGATGCCTTTTCCGAGGAGCAGCTCCGCATTTCAGAAGGTTGTAGAGGAAACGAAGCATCTGGCTGGGAAAAGGGGAAAATAAAAAAAATAATAATAAAAATAACTAAACCTTTTGCTGCATAGGGAGAAAGGAAATAAAGAAGATGAGCCCATTGAAAACAAACAGGATATTTAAAAAAATTACATGCTCGTGCTGAGTTAACTGTGATATTGCAATTAAGTGATCTTGCAGTAAGGCTCCGGTCAGAGGCTGTGTTAACTGATGACCTGAAAAGCTTTTACTTCTCCATGGTGGCCAAACTACTTCACTGCCATCCATGCGTATACAAGCTTCTTCAAAATTTACTTCATCATGAAGCCAGCCCTTCATACCCCAATGCCTAGGGCTTGAACTACCAGAGCGGACCGTTGGAACTCTTTCTCTTCTGGAATCATCAACAGGAGGAGGAGGAGGCAGTCGAGGGGCATGTGGAACACAAAGGACCACGGGTGATGGTGGCCTCTTGATCCGAGGTTGCTCCTGCCTAGGAGGGATGCAAGGACTTCTACGATCATGACTACGCCTAAAATCCGATCTTGATCTTTCCCTTGACATATTTGGGATGATAATTGGTCGAAGAATGGGATATGGAAATGCATCAACAGTCTTTGCCTCATTATCAACAGATACATTGGACAAGGAAGCTGGAGCATTCTTCTCATCTACCACTATATCTATCGATGTGGCAATTGATGATTGTGCAACCTTGCCAGTATTAACTTCACTTCCTGATATCACATATCCACGAGTTCCAGAGCCTAAAGGGTCAAAGGGAGAGCAAAAAGAAGTAGCAGATGGTGAAGTCAAACCATTTGTACTGTAAGAGGAAGAGAAGGCAACCATGTCATCAACAGCCCTATTCATATCTGCCTCTCGCCAAGCCCAAGAACTATCATCTGAACTAAGCGAGGGAGGACGCGAAAAGCTGGTCCCTGTAAAATCAGAAGGATTCCAGTACATCACACCACCACCAAAGTATTCATTATAATCCACACCAGGACAGCCATGGACCTCTAATTCTTCTTCTGGCATACAGTAATTTTCATGTTCATCACACACTTCCTGTGCATTTGTGGACTCGGAAAAATCGATTATTTCACCAGAATACAGTCTTTCATCATCAACACTCACTGTGCTGCGGTGAATGCTTTGTTTAGCCAAGTCATGTTGAAAAGATGGTCGCCTTGTGATAAATCCAGTGTCATAATTGCAGGTGACAGATGGAGCTACTCCATTAGCACCGCGTAATATAGGTGGCCAGTCTAGGCTCACTGCTAATGGTCTAGGCATAATGCCAGTATGCCCTGATTCAATTGGGGGGTTCCTTACATGATGTACAGCACGTACATAAGATTGGCGATAATGGCGTTGCCAGTTATGACTAACATCCAGATGCAGTCTATCAGTGGCAGGTGGAAGATGTGAGTTACCCGACGGGAAGTGGATAGGAGCTACATTGGGCCATTCATAAGAAAGGTAAGTTGGAGCACGCGCAGGCCCACTATTATACACATCAATACTTCCACGCTCCTGAAATGAGAATATTTTTGCTTCCTGATCACCAATTTTGTCTTGCTTTCTCAATGCACCTAGGTTCATCCCCTCTATATTTAAGCCAATAACACTTTTAATGCTTTTATCATGGGTTTCACAATTTTTACCAATTTCAACTGAAGGCATTGGAGAAGTTACACTGCAAATGATATCTTGATTTATGGTTTCTAATCCAACAGCTGACCTTTCATTTTCTACCACACTCTCTGAGGTCCGGAAGAGCATTGGAGCAGAACTTGCTATTCGATCTGCACAACCAGTAGAACAAGTTGATGTTGGTTCAACGTTGTCATTATCCTTAATAGTATCAACTGCTGACCTCTTCTCAACAGCTGAAGTTTCAGATATGAAACCAGATGTCGCATGCTGGTCTTCACAGGTCAGAGGTAGAGTGGAAAGCTTAATAAGGCCTAGCTGATGATTTCCTGCTTCTGCAGGAACACTGGGGCAATAGTTTTTACGCTTATTTCTTTCTTTTTTCTTCCTAGAAATGCTTGGGGTAGTTTTAGTATGTTGTCCTTCTCCACTTCCCTAGTGATATCAAACCAGTCACAAACTATTACCATCACGAAAAAAACAGAGATGATCCATATTGAAGAGACAAGTACAACCATGTGAAGTGTTGCAGGAATAGTATCTTTTACAAATTTCATCTGCTGCACCTTGTCATCCAAGCTACTAGGTGAACAAATCTTTGCATTTTCACCATAAGCCAATCCAAATGCATCATCCTTGAAACAACCCATTTTAAAATTAGGATAGTGAATTGAAGCATCTATTCTTCACAAAATTATTTAATAGAATACTAGAATAGAGACATAGTGTGGGTACCTCAGGACGTTCCACAAGTGCAACATCATTTGTTGCTAGCTTTGAAACATGATTCTTCTTTTTAGTTTTACTGTTCTTCCTGCTTTTTTTAGTGTTGCTGGGGCCAAGTTTCTCCTTGTTTTTCTTTAAAGATGACTTTATTTGTACATCCTCTAATAATTCAACTTTAGTACACTCAAGTGAGATCACCATTAGTAAAACTCGCAGCTTTCTTAATATACAATCAGTAATTGAGCTAATAGATTCTAAGGAGCTAAAGTACAGCCTTTCTCTTTCATAATAAATATGCTGAAATTCAAATAACATGATGGAAATATTTTGAAGAATAGATAAACCTTCAAGTGCACAAATCAATGATGATGGCATCTGAGACAGAGATGTAGGGATTTTGTTCTGTGAAGAACATTCAAATGTGGTGCTGAAATTGGCAGGGCTTTCTTGGTTTGACAGCTTATTGTTGCACCTAAATGGTTGGTCCGCTATGTCACCATAGTGCCACATTTTATCATCACGTACACATTTTTTCCCATTGTAAACATCTGCAGCCTGAGATAACATGTGCATCAAAAAGGGGTATAAGCAGGCTAAATAGGAAATAGCTTAAATGGAACCCTGTATGACATTACGAAAGTAGATGACACGTCTTAAAACTGAAAGCGGTAAAGTAGCTAAATTGGGTACTCTTTCTGTCCTAAGAATCAAGCCTACTGAATCATGGTCCAGTGAAGTTCAAACCCCCATATCATCCATAGAGCTATTCGAGAAATGAATGAAATTGAAGTTTCAATATGTCTGTTAATCTGATAGGTTTTACAATTCAATCGGCCAGTTATTCTTCTTCCACTGATCATTTGGAGATCAAAGATATTGTCCGTGGCTCAACCCTATATACTCTTGTGCCATGAGATATTATGTTCCACTTTCCTTAGCAAAGACTACATTAGTTCATGAACAATTTTCCTATTGGAACCGTATGGGTAATTTCTGCTCAAAATAGAACAAATTCAAATCTTTCCTTTAAGAGATCAGGTCCCATCCTGTTCACATATATGCCTTCTTTCCTTCCAAAGAATTGGAAATTCTGGATCATGTTAGCTCCTAGTTAATTAAAATTTAAGAATGAGAAGTCATATCCAAAAAATTCTCCTCTTAAGTGAAAAATGAGGTGAAACATCCAGCGAATATCGAACTGATTATATTATTAGAAATAAATAAAACTGCTGAAGAGAAAATGTGATTTGTAAACAATAAAATGTGTAATCTTCTATCAGAAGTACCAGAGATTTTGCAACTTTCCCCAAAGCAGTTAGAAACACCTTCCGCTTTGATGCTTCATCAAGCTTTTCCCACCAGTCTACACACCCCTTCTTCCTCCAAAATGTATTTGCAGCTAAACCAGCTGAATTCACTTTATCTTTCAACTTCACCCCCATCTTCTTAGTCTTACAATTGGTGCAATTCAACCACGACAACCTTAATGCCACCTCCAATCTATTTACCATAAATGCCTCTACACTATAATACCCTTTCGATTTGAGCCAGTCCAGTTCCGCCCATTCCGACCCAATACAGCTTTCCTCTCCCCTCAAAAATCTCCCATTTGAAACGGCATCCATGGCATCCACAAACCTATCTACGCTTTCCACAAGATCTTCGCATACAGTTAAAGAATCTAAACAATTAGCTGAATACGACCCCTCATCAATCCCCTCCCCTTCTTTTGAGTCAAAAAGCCTTATTGCATCTCGAATTAACCTTTCGGCCTCGTTGTTTTCTGCAACTCTAGTTAGAAGTCCATGGGACTTCCGAAAACAGATGCTTGGAAGACCGTTGCATGTGTTGTCCAGGATATCCGGGAGAATAATGAAGAATCCATGACCATTTGATTTCAGCTTGCGGCGCATTTGGAAGAGGACCTGAGTGAATTTCGCGTCGACGATGGTGAGATGAGCTTGCCTTTGATGAACTGTGAGGGATGAGAACCATTTTAAAATTGATGATCTAGGGTTAGGACATGTAGGAGGGGATGATGAGTGTGACTGGTACAGAGAAATGTGGGAGGTCAGTGTGTCAATAAGCTGCTGTTTTGAACCTTTCATGTTATTGAAAACGACTTTGACTTAGAACGGAGAGTTTATTCTGCAAAAGCCGGCGGTTGCGAGTTGCGATGAGGCTAGACAATGGTGATCACCGATCAATTTTGCAGAACTGGAGATGGAAAACAGAGACAGCAAGGAAGAGCCCCAAATGATCGCGGTTGTGTAATAATGAATCCTGGCTACTGCGGTTGTTTGCATGGTATTCTCAAAGGAATTTTATTCATACTCTTTATTTTTGTAAGAGAAAAGGGTCACATGACCCTCTACTTGTTTGAAACATCACCTGAGTCCATCTACTCTTAAAAACATCACATAAATACCTTTACTTGTTAAAAAAAGCATATCAGTATAGGTGACCTGCAAGGTACTTGGTGCTCCCAGTTATAAGCTTACGTGGGTTTTCTTTAAACCCAAAAGAGATAATTTTTCCACGTCATTCCTATACCAGTGCTTTAAATTACACGTACAATTAGATTTACATCGCTTCTCATCCCAAAGCCTTAGGTTCTTCGCTCATCTTTCGTTCGTCTGCCTTCCTCTGCGTTCGATTCCCCTGCGTGAAGATGGCGTCCTCTTCGTCTACCTCAACCGCTGTTTATTGCAGATGCCCTGTTTCATTTCATGGGTGATCTACAAGGGTTTGAAATACTTCAATGGAAATTAGGTTTAAATTTATAACATTATGGTTTAATTAGTAATTTCAGTTCAATGGTTTGATTTACAGTCCATACCCCCTGCTTCGAGCTTGAATTTTAGGGTGATTTGTTGAATTAATTCTTTGATGATTTAATTAATTATTTAAATAGGAATGGAGGGAGTCAATTCTAGCTAGGATGATTATGCATGCATTCCTTATTCGTATGTCTTTTGAAGCAATATGAATTGGTCTGCATGAAGATGATATTTGTGATGATTGGGTTGTATGTATATAATTAAGAAGAACTTTTTTACTTAGTTGTGGTGGGAAATGCAGGAAGGAGGTTGTATGTACTTTGCTTGGAAACATGAAAATGAAAATGAAGAGGGAGAAAGCTCAAAATTGGTGATTGAAGGAGCTGAAAAACTGGAATTTAATGAGCTGAAATCAGTAGTTTGTCTCCTGACAATTCAAATAATGGGTCTTTGTCGTGAAGTTTGTGATATGAGGTCACTTCTGCAATTTGAAATGGAAGACATCAAGAAACTTATTCATGCCATGGAGGAAATCAAGAAAGATTATGAAATGGAAGAAAGAAAGAATCTTATCCAAAAGGAGGAAAGCAACCAATTTGGATCCGTATGGAAAGTTGTAACACTTTTTGTTGTAGGATTATCAATTGTAATTTGTTTACTCAATGGGAAACCATTATATCGTAGTTGTATGAAAGTGTTCATTAGTCTTGTAACATCACTATTTTGTGTGCTTTTGTAAGAACTAATTTTGATTGTTATTGAACTATTATTGGTTGTTATGTAAGAAGAAAAAGTCTTGCGATTTCACATGGAATGTTTTCATGTTAATGTGTAATCTTATTTTGATTGTTATGTATTAATTGTTGGGTAAGAAGCAATAATTTTCCTTCACCTTCTTTGTTCAAAGTTCTGTCTTCATGACGAGCAATGGAAGAAATAGGCTTCCATTCACTGCAAACCAGTGGCAAAAACTTGAGCACCAAGCTCTTATTTACAAGTACATGGTTTCAGCCATGCGTGGTTGAACATGGGTACTATTAATCAAGCCTGAAGACAGCAGCAGAGAAAATGGGAGGATTATTTTGTCCTGGGAGCAAAGAAGACCACCCGCCTGTAAAATATGACGTCTATTTCATATGCATTTTGTCAAGTTTCATACGCCTCCTAGTTTCTCAAATGCATTTTGTTTGTTAACAATGCCATTCATTCATATATCCTTAAAAAAATTATAACATATTATTACCACATCACATCCTGAAACACATATCTAAACCAAACATCACAACATGATTTTGTAAACTGCCACCACATACATAATACCAATATCATATGTTTAACAAAATAGGCACCAACATTGCTTACATGTATGCATTAGCATCCATAAAAAGGGATTGTTTACCCATAATTAGTACATTTACAAAAAGAGGGTTATATCCCATACAAAAGTCAGGCAAAAAACATAAAAAACACCACAACACAAGCTGCCCAATAGTCTTCTGCTTTAAACGAGTTTGTCCTGCCGCATCTCCACTTTAAACAACTTGTTCACCTGCCGCATCTCCACTTCTTTTTTTTGTTTTTGGTCTAATACTTGCTTCATTTTCTGGTTCCCTTCTCCTTCGCCTTGGTGCGGCTCGATTCAAAGCTCCTACAGATGCGGTTTGTGTTTCCGTTTGCTTATTTGGACATTTAGACTTATTATGGCCAGAGCCCTTACACCTTGAACACGTCATCACTCTACCTTTTCGACTAAGTGTTGTAGTGTTTGTGGATGGCCTTTCATTTGCCTCTCGGTTTCTCTTTTTCTTCGGCCTTCCACTCATTTTTTTGGGAATTGGGGCCTCGATATCATTGTGTTGTGTCTTTTTCCACAATAATTCCCCGTTCATGGGCTGAAGATGATGGGAATAGATTTTTTGGTACACGTCTTTAGAGTAGCACTCATGAACATAAGCTTCTGGATCCCCGCCCTTGTCATATATAGCACACACAGCATGTGGGCATGGGATTCCATTTAAGTCCCATGCCCGGCAAGAACACGTTCGTCCTTCTAGCTTAACTTTGTACTGGTGTCTTCCCCGCTTCACCTCGTACCCGTCATCACCATTAAAGACAACCTACAAAGTTTAGGGATATATGAGTCAGTGATAACAATCGTCAATGGTAGGACAGATTCGAATTCATAACAAAGTATATACCTTCCATGCCATGCTTTGGTGTATATTTTCATTCAGCTTTTTCATTATCCGCGGGCCAATGTTACCAGCCCACCTTGTTCCAAATTTAACCTTTTTTGCAATTCGCTTCATGGTTGCAGTTCTAATGGCTTCTAGCATAGGGATAATAGGTCTACACCTAGCTTTTACAAGTGTGTTATTAAAAGACTCACTCAAATTATTATCAAGGATATCACATTTTGGATCAGTTCGGAAGAATGCTCTGCACCAATGATGAGGATCATAAAGATCCATATCTGCCCGGGCCGTTGGATCTATCTTTTCCAGTGCTTGCATTTGTTGATCAAACTGTGGTTGTGTGGTGCATCTAGCACATATCCAGAAGTGTTTCTTCATGATTTTCCCCGGATGTTTCTTGCTCCAGTTTGCGTGAATATGCCTGCAGCAGTTTCTGTGCTCGGAATTAGGGAATAATTCCTTGATCACAGTTATTAGGCCCTGCATAAACAAGAATTTAGACCAGTTATAAGCAGTACTGCATGTACGTTCTGAAGAGTTTACAAGTTCCATTGCTGCCATCATATATAGCTATCTTAATCTGAGTAACTTCTAGCTTATGAGCATCTTAAATCAAAGGTGAGCTACATTACTAATACATACAGTAGAGGGCTAATCATTAAATCGACCTTCAAAGATATAACAAATGCAATTTAGACCATGTGAATGTTGGTAATAGTTAGAACAGTTATTACAGTTAGAAAATATAATTAGAGCAGTTAGAATACTAATTGTACACGTTCATTATGTATAATAGCCAAGTATTATACCTTTTGTTGATCACTCATCAAAGTCCAATGAAAAGAATTGTCCATTTGAAGGTCTGCTTTTAGAAGATCTAAAAACCATCGCCACGAGTCAGTGCTTTCAATCTCTACAATAGCCCATGCAATTGGATACATTTCATTGTTCGCATCCCGAGCCACTGCAGTTAAGATTTCACCTTTCAACAAGCCTTTAAGAAAACAACCATCGAGTCCTATTACTTTACGACAACCTGACAAGAACCCTTCTTTCAATGCTCCAAAGCACACATACATCCTCTGAAAGACCTCGGGAGCATCTTCAGTAACCCTCTGTGTTTTCACAATGACAGTGCTCCCCGGATTTGACCTAATGCACTCCTCAGCGTAGTCCCGCAGTCTTCTAAATTGATTTCCGAAGGATGCATTAACTTCTTTCAAAACTTTGTAAATAACTCTCTTCACCTTGCATATGTTGATACTCAGTTTCAGGTCGTTGCGAATTAGTTTTTGTAGTACCACTTTTCCCATGCATGGATTTTCCCTAATTTTATCGGCATACTTTTCTTGCAGCCAATCTTGACTCACCACCTTGAGCTTGAACTTCTTATTGCATCTGTGCTTACCTACCCAAGTCTTTATTTGGAGACATCTATATTGGCTGGCCCATGAGGCAGTACATTTAAAGGGGCACTTTCCAGCACATTCTGCTTGAACTCTATTTGGTGCATTCTTCACCCATCTGATATCCCTCTTCTTTTTAACTGCATAGGTAATCAGAGCACTTTTGAACTGCTTAGCATCTTCAAATAACATCCCCACCTCAAACTTTTTTTTTTTAGAATTTGGATTGTACGAGGGCACTTTGCAAGCATGATTCACCTTGGATTGGACCTCTTCAGTATGTTGGTGGTCATCATCAGAAGGTGAGTAATAACTGGGAGGATCATCAGAGTCATAATATTCGGTTTCTTCATCATCATCATCATCATTAGCCGAGCCCAACTCAATACTTTTGTTCTTCTTTTTTACCCAGTCTAGGCCATTGTCTCTTGCGTTTTCCTCACTGCCATTATGACCTACTTCTTCTTGTTCAGCTTCCCCATTGATGCTCACAGCTGCATTTATATCATCTGACTTAGCCCTATTCAATTCAATGTCATCTTGTTCAAATTCTCTTGTTTCAGACTGAAAGTCAGCTTCTTTGGGTACCCCTGCACGTACATTTGATGACAAAGCTAGGTCAGTGAGAATTTCTGCCTCATCAATACCATGCTCCACATATATATCTACTACACCGCAATTAACTGCCATCTCAATAAGCCGAAGGGTAGACTCATCATTCCATAGTGTTCTTAGCATATGCATGTTCTCTTCAGGTAGTTTGAACAACAATGACTCCACTTTTTTATAGGCATCAGTCGTGATATATTTTAGCAAGTGCGGATACGAAATCCTGTCCGGATCAAGAGTTACAATTTCTATATCACCATTAACATAGGACAACTCAGGATATCTGATAAAATTCCCACCGTGGTGTATTCGTAATTCAGCTTCCAGTAACATTCTGAAACAAAACAAAAAAAATA